CTCCCCTTGGAGATCCAGGCGGATCCAAACTAGTGGTCAATCCAATGTTGCCAATTTTTCTCACGTGCGCATCCCATGATCCCACACGGCTTCTATGCGTTCTTCACTGAGACGTCAAGCAACACGCTAAGTAAATATACATTGGTCTCGGAAGACCAGATACCTAAGTCTAAAAATAGCTTGAGAGTGATAATGTTTGAAATAGGGCCTACAAAGGGATACAGTCTCATTAACTTATTCTCTCTTAACTGCCGCTGACGTCTATACATTGGTTCTTTCACAAAGTTGCAAAAACTTTTTTGTTTAATATTTGGACATTTGCTCCGAGAGAGCTCACAAACTTTGTCACACGGCCATTCTCGACAAGCGAATGCGACTAGGTTATAATGGAGAAGAATTTAATAGTGTAGTTTGATCGTGTGGGTGAATTTAGTCATGATAAGGACTATTGTCGGTAGTGGTGACTGACGTTTCGACAACCTGAGCGGAAGTCAACATCAAAGGCAAGTGAATGGTTGTTGTCAGTCGAATGTTCTTGGTACGGTTTGTATAAACTGATTGGCCATTTTTGCCGTGATTTTATCGGCTGGAAAACTCAAGTGGCGTAGGTTGGTCATGATCGGTCGGTCTTGATCCGTCAGTGAAGTTAGGTCGTTCTGTTAGGTTCGTTTGTAATGTTATATTAATGCCGTGAGGAATCCGGTCATTTCGATAAAATAAGATTTGATAGAGATCGATTCAAAACACGTAGAAATTAAGTCGCTTCGATACAGCTTAATTCAGTTCGATACAAACTAGTGAAAGATAAATTTAGGTGTCACGACGGCAGTTGTTCGGCGATATATCTTGCCTTCTTTAATCTGCATTCAACGATCTATCAATGACCTTTGTCCTAGTATTTTTACTGATTTCAAACGTCATAAAGACCAACCTCGAATTACGTGTAAAATGACCTTTATTTAATCACCGTTTGCTAGGGTATTTGAACAACAAAGAAGTAGTAATGACCTAAAATAAGGAATGATTGCTGCGAATGGAGAAGATATACACAGCTTAAAAATGAGGACTGAATTTTTCAAGATGGACCAGCCATGTCGAAGCCTCTTAGAAGTCGCTGCTTATTAGTCAAACTTACCCGTTTTACAGGAGCCGTTTCCCGGCAGGCGGTTCGGGTCGATAATGTCACACTGATCATCACTGGCTATCAACTGAAGTCCTCCAGGACACACCTTCATACCCCAACGCACGTGATTTGCAAGTTGTGGGAGTGCTATAAATTACAAAATCCGCCTTCAGTGAGAAATTGAGAGTAATTTTTCAATTAATTGTTGAAAGCAAATTCGTAATTGCTTTGGTTTTGCTTCAATACACTTAACGCTTTGTGATAGGCCCAGAAAACTCTTACACCGCATGGAAAAGTCAAGTGCAAAACAGTCAATCACTCGTGTCAATCACTCGTGTCAATCACTCGTGTCAATCACCCGACGCTTATAGCATCTTGTCACTTAATACTTTGCATTCTAATTGGCTGTTGTCATAGCTTTGGTTTTCGTTTTTCGAAAACTGATAGATAATCATTCCAAAAAGATCATAACATCGTTCTTAATTCATTTGGATTGGGGATGGGAGAGCGGGGAGTGGGAATAGTGCAGAGGTGAGAACGCTCGCCTCCCACTTATGTGGCTCAGGTTCGATTCTCATCCTTGCTCTAAGGATTTTCTCCAAGTCTTCCGGTTTTTCTTCCTCCACAAAAACTGCTCAGGAGAAGACGAGCCACCTTGTGGAATGTCTATTGCTAAATTATTTTTATTATTATCCGTGTTATTGTCCATTAAGTTCGCTAAGGTTTAAAAATGAGGTAATTACAAAGCAAATGCCTTGTAAATAACTCCTTATTATTATTAATGACCTTCTCAATATGAAAAGTGCTTAACATCGTTTTCTTTCTAAACGGAATCGTTATTCTCGCTCGCAATCGGTCATGTATATATCACTTCAATATCTATTACATTGTTATCTATCACCTGAGCATTTCTTAGCACAACAGACTGCTCCATTGTAGATGTGACAGGTCAATGGAGACATTTGTGGGCACCCTTTATTCCGCTTGTGTCCTACAAAGAGGAACTGACACCCTTGGTAGTCCCAGTTGTCTCCTTGTGACAAAATCTGGCCACCTTCGACAGTTTCAATTGCTGAGCGAAGAAATAATTATGTATATAATAAATTATGTATCATTAGAGTTCTTTAGAGCCTTTGGGGGGATTAGGTAAATTCGATTGTTGCCCAACCAAAATTCTCCTACCCCTCCCTCCAGGGGATGAATAATGACCAATTCCTAAGGTTTCCAGTTCCAAAGGTTTTTCCGGCGATTTCAATTTCTTCCCGAGTCAGCACTGAATAGCTTTTTTCTGTTAAGTATGGATCTATTGAGCGAATCCTGATGGTGTATCCTAATTTGGTTGAAGTGATCTCTAATGTAGCTCTCGGCTTAAATTTAAAAAAGTTTAACTCCTTAACCTGACGTGTACCTTTACAAGTTTCTCTCCTGGCTTTAATAAACTCCACAGCGTTACACCCTGGTTGTTCACAGGACTCATTAAAAGGTAAGTATGCAAAGTGTTTGCCAGGGAAGTTGACTTGAAGTGTTCTCTTGCATTTCAGACGAC